GAAATTTCAAGGAGTTCGGAACTCTTATTGATCTAGAGTGTACCTCACTATTGTATTCAACTTTGTGCTTTGTATCATTGTAGATTGTTTTCATTCTCAAACAGCGATATTACTGTACATACTAAACAAAGCGTAAAGTGCAAAAATCACAATATGACCCATTTAAAAACGCCACATTGTGACTACAGATGTTCTTAAATATCTACTCTCATCCCAAAGCACTTAAAAAAATTCACTTTCATGTGATTACTCATGACACCAGCTTTTTGTGATGATATGATTCACATTTCCACTGAAATCAGCCGGCGTGTGCTGTGAGTGAAGCGGCATGCTCCATTTCGCAAAGATAATTGGTTGTTTTTCAGATGCTTCAGGGTTGACATTACGGAGTTTGTTTATCTGGAATGATGCATCAATTCTCAGCGGTGTTGAAAGCATGCTATGTTTATTATTGTTGGTTTGTTTATTTATTTAATTTTTAAAACATGCACATCTGTTCTACGGAAAGTGCCTTCAGCTCTCCTCCGCCGCAGGGCATCGTCAATGTTTAGTTTGTGACCTTCGGTAATGAGGCAGGTGACAGGATTAGATAGTATCACCAACCACTGCACAGCGGTGCTAAGAGACCCGGACTATTGTCAATCTCTCTCCCATCAGCAATAGAGGCCATGTAAGCCGTCGTAGACAAGCTTCTTATCAGCACGTTGGGGTTCAAGTAGAGCTCATTTCATGGATATGTGACACTCCAGTTCAGTTCCACACCCTCAAACCCCTCCTTTCTTTCTCTATTCTCTGCAAGCCAGTCAGGCTTGACTCGGTCAGCTAGTTAGCGGCTGCAGCTTGATCATACGCTATATGTGATTGGCGGCTGACTCCCTTCGGAGCTGCTTTGTGACAATGCTAATCGGACAACGCTCAGCACCTCTTAGTGCCAATGAAATCTTCAGGCCGACTCGATTCATCCTCATTTGATGGCATTTGCTAAAGGCCATCGGCTGGCACCTAATTGGCTGCTTGCACATTCCCTCCCCCCTCTGATCAGCTCATACTAATATCTCTGAGTAGAGGGGACGAAAGGAGAGGAAAGGTGACGGATTGATTGGGCAGCTGTGTGATTTAATGGAGGAAGGGATTACTGTCTTGGCTGTCATCTTCCATCACTCCTCCTCCTCCTTCTCTAATTCTTGCTTTCACGATGCGATTCGTAGGCACAGTGCCGATGTGAGGTGACTGTGCTTAATGGGCCACGTAATCCAGCATTGAAGTGCTTCACCAACATTATGTGTATGAGCTTTCATATGTGACCTGTAACTAACATTATAGGGGCTCGAATGCTGACTCAAATGTTCCAGTTGAAAAGGAAAGAAAAAAAATTCTGTTGAATGTCAGATCTCATGTGAAAAAAACCAGTATGGTGTGTTTGGGATGCTGGTACAGTGATGGCAGCAGTATTTTCCTGGCCGGTCAAATAGTGTTGTGGTGTGTAGAACCTGGTGGTGTGAATCTGAGAAGGGTCTGGCTGCAGACCAGGAACACATGCAAGCTGAGCTGCATGCAATGCTTTTAATGTGTACACCTAACCCTTCCCATAACCCTGCCCCCCCACAGTGACATGACTAGCTCTATTCAGTCCATTTGTCTGTATCAGCTTGAAGCCAGATACTATTGGAAAAACTTTTCAAAAAAAACAACTTAATAGATTTTACTAAATTGTTGGTGCATTGCCTGATTTCTTAACATAATTACTCTGATTAAGTTAATAACTTGTTTATGGTTTCAATTATTTTGTTCTTAAAACATTTATGTAAAATGGCATAATGGCAATTAATTATTATTTTGTCAAAATGTCACCAAAATATATAGGAAATAATAATTATATATATATATATATATATATATATATATATATATGTGTGTGTGTGTGTGTGTGTGTGTGTGTGTGTGTGTGTGTGTGTGTGTGTGTGTGTGTGCGTGTGCGTGTGTGTGTGTGTGTGTATATATTTTAATGGCAAAATTCCATTTGCACTTGATCATAATTCTTTTTTAAATGTTAAATGCATAAAAGAGTTGGCAGGAATAAGGCCAGAGAGAGTTGCGACCTACAAAGATGTATTCCCAGTGCTTTTATGGGACTATGATCATCGCTGCGATGCTACTCCACCATCTGAACCAGAAACAAACCAGTATGAAACAGCTTGGAAATTCATGCTAGTCTGAGCTGGTCTTTTCAGCAGGTTGTCTTTGTGTGTGAGAGAGTGAAAAATCTGTGCTTTACTCTTCCTTCAACCTTTTCTTCTGCACCAAGGTCACTCAGCTCCAGGGTTTGGCACCACTCGGGTACAGCGGTGCCCAGCTAAAGATATGCATAACTGCCTGCTGCTGTCAAACATCCTGTACCCCAAGCCAGTGAAAATATCCACCTTACGCTACTTATTTTGTTTCATCCCCATTGTCTGTCTGAAGTTTTATCGCGAGTCCTCGAGGGAGCTTCCTTTTTTACAGTAGTGCGATCAAGGCAAGTGAATGAAAAAGAGAGTTGTTTGATCCAGTGATAGTGCTGATAAATGGAGGCACACACGCAGGTCTTTGTGTCATTTGACAGATGGAGACCTGCTCCTGCAGTGGGTCTCATGAGCCTGCGGCGTGAGCGATAGATGCTCTAATATTCGCTTATCTTTTCTGCTCCTCAAAAAGATCCAGGCGTTATTTTAAATGAATCTTTTTTGCTTACACTGGCCTCTGCTCGCCATTGATTATTAACGCATGTGGCCATTAAGATATTCTCAGATCTTGTTAAAGTAATAAAGTGAGTAAATTGCTTTATGAGATGGCATGGCGGTGATTGTGATTAGGATGTTTTGCCATGCGATTGCTCTTATGGTCCCTTCATCAGTGCATAGGGTGTCTTGTATCTATATCAGGGGAAATGTATTATACCGAGTTTGGTGTTGAGTGTTTAAGTTGCAAGTGTACGCATTAAATATTAAATATCAGCCTTGATATTTATATATGTATGTATAATATTATATATAAATAAATGTAATAATGGGCAACACGTGGCGCAGTACAGCAAGAAGGTCGCTGGATCGAGCCCCAGCTGGGTCAGTTAACGTTTCTGTGTGGAGTTTGCATGTTCTCACCACGTTCGCTTGGGTTTCCTCGGGGTGCTTCGGTTTCCCTCACAGTCCAAAGACATGCGGTACAGGTGAATTGGGTAAGCCAAATTGTCTGTAGTGTATGTGTGTGTATGGATGTTTTTTCAGAGATGGTTTGCAGCTGGAAGGGCATCCGCCGTGTAAAACATTTGCTAGATAAGTAAGCGGTTCATTCCGCTGTGGCAGCCCCAGATTGATAAAGGGGCAAAGCCGAAAAGAAAATGAATGAATGAAATGTAATAATGCAAAGTTAATTTAGTAGTAAGTGTTAAAGTATAGGTAAATAATAATTATAAATATAATTTCAGATTTAATACAGAAAAATATATGCAGAAATATAGATAAATATTCATTTATCAAATTACAGGGGGGTTTTGGGGGGAGGGAATGACTTCCCTAATTAACGCTTGATCCAAACTTCACATCAAAACAAAATTTATGCGGAGTCAGCCCTTTAATAGTAAGAAATATCTTTCTCTGATCTTTGATTTATATCCCAAATAATATTAATGAAAAATGTGCAACATAAATTTACATTTGACCCCCCCAACAACCCCCCCCCCCTTTCCATAAGGGTTCATACCATTGTGAATGCATAATTGTACAATTCAATGCGAAGAAAAATATGATTCAACAGTCTGAAACTGGCAGTTCTGGAGCAAGTATTCACAAAACATGTTTCTTGTAAAGTAGGTGTTTACTTCTGCATGTAGCCTAAAAAAAATAAAAATTAAACACATAATTGTAATGTATACATTTTATTAATAAATAAGATGGAATTTAAATACATTCTTCAATTTGATTGACTACAGCATGTATTACCAAAATACTACCGAAAAAGTTGACCCCCTGATCATCAATGTATAAATCACACCCTGTAAATATTACATGAATTCTGATATTGGTTTTAGTATTTATTACTGTGTAATAATATTAATAACAACAATAATAATAATGATAATAATAATAAGTAGTATACGTTTTATTACATAAAAATAGTAATAATAGTAGTGGTAGTAGTAGTAGTAGTAAGTTGTTATATATATATATATATATATATATATATATATATATATATATATATATATATATATATATCATCAATATTAACTTGAGATTAGAATAATTTTACATTATGGAGAATATTGTTATATTATCATTAATAAATATTATTACAAATACATTATAAATAAATGTTAAATACTGTTAATATTAAATAATAGTAATGACGAATATAACAAGCAGTAATTCTAAATTAAGTATTACATATAATCAAAATAACATATTTATAAACATTAATTAAAACTGCTGATAATGCTATTATTAGTAGTAATAGTAGCAGTAGTCATGCTGTATTATGTTATTTAACAATATATATTGTAATATTTAATAATATATTTATTATATAATATTTAAATAATATACAGTAACCTATAAGAAATATAACATATAAAAATGAGTATTGTGAAATATTTAATCTACTATTAATTATAAATAGCATATTGCATGACATGGATTTGATAATAGTCATTAATAATCATCATCATGGCTAATACCATCCCTTTACCATCCCTTTACCATTTTACCAGAACAAAATGTATTTCTTTTATGCTGGACTAAGAAGGTGAAAACACATTATGCACCTCTGTTACTCACTGTGTACTGAACTCCACCCCTCTTTGCCTTTTGTTTATAATGTTTCAGGCTCTCTGTCCTGGGCCATGAGGAGGTCTAAATGCTTCTCTCTTTCTCTCCCTCTCCCTCTCCCTCTCTCTCTCTCTCTCTCTCTCTCTCTCTCTCTCTCTCTCTCTCTCTCTCTCTCTCTCTCTCTCTCTCCTCATGCAGTGATCTTTTGCATCAGGAGGGTGTGGACCTGAGAGAAACACACAGGAGGAAGACACAGTGCTCTTCTCTGAGTGGAATAATCCACGGCTTTCCTGCACCGCTGTGTTTGTGTCTGTCAGCAGGTGCAATGCCTGCCACGTCACAAAAACAGCAGGTGAGCAGCAGGGGGCGATGCACGGCTCTCCTGCTTCCTCTCCTTCTGCTAGCAGTGGCTCTAAAACCCGGGAACACCACCATCAACATCCCATCCAGATGTGAGTACACTGCATTACATATGAACATCAAGAGTCTGTTTGCATTGATTTCTACAGTACATGTTTGCTGTGGTTTGTTATTATGGCGCATGAGAGTTAAAAAGTGCCAAATGTGCAGTTTTAAGTGAGTTTAATTACTCAATTGATTACTCCATTGATCTGCAATGGCTAGTACAGGCCTGTTTGGAAAGGACACTCGGGCTGGTGTTGACTGAAACCCACCTGAGCAGGAACTGTAACAACAGCAGCCGCTACAAGCTTCCTAAAGCTATAAACAGCACTGCTATTATTGTACAGCTGCAGTTTAAGATTGCAGCCGGTGTAACAGAGCATCTCTCTTTCCCACTCATTTAAACACAGACACACACACACACACACACTCTCAAACAGAAGAGGAAAACGCCTAGATGATGAAAACTACAAAACTGAAATGCACCAGAATGAGATGTCAGCGCAGAGTTACACCTACATTAAAGGTCACTGCTTCTTTTGACTTTCAATTAGTGACCTTTAAATGAGAAAGGTGGACATGGATGTTATCATTGAGATCGATAACTGACCCACATTAAAATGTGGACAAACAAAATCTAGCCCATTTGCTCTGAACTAAAGCTCCATCCCTCTCTCTTTATTTCTGTGCTTGTGTTGCAGTTTTAGAGGATCGCTGCTTTTGTTTTGTTATTAAGTTGTTGGGACTGCAGTACCAAGCAATCTTGGAAAGATAGGCTGAAGTCAAAATAGCTAAATAGGGAGTTTATTTTAGCTCTGCTTTGCCAGCAGCTTGTTATCTCTCACTGGCCAGCTGATCTACAGTCCAGGTGTCTGAGCTGGCATCATTTCTTGTCTTTGTTTCACTTCCAAATAGTGTAATCATACTATCACAAACATTGGTTTTGTTTAAAAAAAGAGGGTTAGGGTTAAGGCTAATAGGGATGTGGGGTTTTGCTTTTACTTTGGGAAAAAATGTTCTGATGAGAATCATAAAAATCTTAATGTAACACTTTATTTGAAGGTGGTGTTTATAAAACAATGACACTTTTATAATCATGATTCATGACACATCACATGTCATAGGTTTAAATGAAATTTTATGCATGCTTTTGTGATTCACTTAATTGTCATTTTAAATCCAAAGATGACATTGCATGAGATATCTTTATGGCAACTTGGCATAAACAAATACATCATAACCCCCAGCCCCAGCCATATCACCCTGCAGCCCAAGACTCACTAAAGGTTAGCAGCGCTGAGCCTGGTCAGTACCTGGATGGGAGACCACATGGAAAAACTAGGTTGTTGCTGGAAATGGTGTTAGTGAGGCCAGCAGGGGGCACTCAATCTGCGGTCTGTGTGAGTCCTAAAGCCCTAATAAAGTGAAGAGGACACTATACTGTCAGTGAGCGCCGTCTTATGATGAGACAGTAAACCGAGGCCCTGACTCTCAGTGGTCATTAAAAATCCCATGGCACTTCTCGTAAAGTAGGTGTGTAACCCCAGTGTCCTGGCCAAATTCCCACCATCGGCCTTTATGATCATGGCCTCCCAATCATCCCCATTCACCGAATTAGCTTTATCACTGTCTCTCCACTCCCCCTATAGCTGGTGTGTGGTGAGCGCACTGGTGCCATTGTCCTTTGGCTGTCGTCGCATCATCCAAGTGGATGCTGCTTACTGGTGGTGGTGTGGAGAGACCCTCCTCATGATTGTGAAGCGCTTTGGGTGTATGACCATACACAATAAATATGCTATATAAATACACATTACTTACTACCTACTTACTAACTGTTAGTGTCTTTGTCATAACAAATTGACATTACCAAGACTACAAAGCTTGTCATAAATCTGTCATGAACATGATTGCGATGAGGCCATTGCAGTTGTGTCATGAATATTTCTGTGATCTGTTTTTTTTTTCAGTGGAACAAACTGAATTTGTCATTAAAATATCTTTTTGTCAACTTCTCAAATCATTTTACATTTATTATGTATGATTATGGTTATAGAACTATATTGAGTCTAAGAGAAATGTAATCATACTGTACAATTTTTGCGAATACAATTTTTCGAAAGAAATCTTTTTTAGAAACGTATTTTACCTATGATGAAAATCATCTTTCGTAAGCAGTTTGAACCGAACTGTGTGTAGGTATAGTTTATCCACAGTCATATTGGAGTGATATAAACACAACAAGTCTCTGTTTTAAATTTACTAATGTTAAAATAGGACCCAAAACCATTTGAATTTGAGGCCCATAGCAACATGACGTAGGAGTGCGGTTTCCCTGCCCCCCAAATTGATTGACTGGTGCCATGTCTCCATAATAGCATGTATAAACATGTCCACAGAACATTTTTTGCAAAAAAAAAAAAAAAACTGATTAAAACATATGGTACAACTCTCTGTAATTAGCTGTAACTCAATAATTAATTTATCGTTAAAATAACGTTTTTAAAACAGTGCATGTTTTTAATAAAGACGGTAAAATCATTATGTATTTCTTAACGACTATAATCACCACGGCCGCATGGTATCAGTAACCGCTAATATATGTGTATGTACTGCAAAATGCATTTATGTGTGACTTATCATTTCAGAAAGGCTTGAAGTGACTCCACCTCAAATACATCAAATAAACTTACTTATTTCAGCTTCATCTATGTCTGTCTCTATCACTGACGGCTGTTTATCTGACGAAAGACATGAGAAGCAGACATGCATGTCGGAGCAGTGGGCAGTTTATTTGGATTTAAAGGCACAGACAACAAAAACAGCTACGGACCCCAAAATGGGGAGATTCTACATTATATAATAAATAATCTGATGGGTATTTTGAGCTGAAACTTTCCAGACACATTCTGGAGACACCAAAGTCTTATCTTAAATCTTGTAAAAGAGGTAAAATAGGTGCTCTTTAAATAAATGAAAACAAAATAATAGAAACCAATAGTACCAACCAAGGCAACACTTAGTGATGAGCCTGCTTTTTCATGGCCAGAATTCTAAATTTTTGTTTTTGCAAAAACATTAAAACCTCTAATAAATACTTTTGAGGAAAATCCTCTATAAAAATACACATTCACAAATTGAATAAGTAATATTTTAATTAAAACCTAACAATGTCAAAAAGTGTCTGTAGGGCTTTGAGTTCATTGTAGGGTGTTGTAATTAACTTGTAATTAAGGAATGATAATCGTATATGTATAATCTGTGTATGTGTGTGCATGATTCTAAGTGTTCATGTGCATGTTTTCAGTGTGAATTGCTTTAAACTAAAGTATTTCTTTTTTCCCCCTGCTGACTCGATGAACAGACAAAATAAGAGACTGTAAGTATATCTGGCATGAATATTGGGGTTTGCATGTACTGACTTTATTGCACTAACATTTCCCAGACTTAATCTAATAACGGAAGACAGCCTGCAGCAACAGCCCGATCAACTGAGAAATTTGTTTGTTATATTCAGAAGTGTGGGAATAATTTAGAAAAATTGAAGGGTGCATTAAGGCATGAGTCTTTTAAAAATTAATGATCTTTTGTTAATGGGTGACTGGCGGCCAAACCTCCAGTCATACTGGTTAATGGTCCATAAGATGGTCCATCATCAGGGATTGCTGGATTTTTTCAAGTCTTTTTTAAATTTATGGTTTATTACATCCTTATTACTCTCAACTAGACCCTGAACCACCAGTGCTGTTAGATAGATTGATTAAACAAGATGCAAATGAATGAACAAAAGCAATAAATGAACAATCGATCAATCGATCAATTGATTAATCGAAGAAATGTCAGGCAAACATAATGAATGAATAAACGAACGATTGAATGAATGAATGAATAAATGTCAGGAAAAAAATGAATGAATGAATGAATGAATGAATGAATGAATGAATGAATGAATGACCGAATGAATGAATGATAAACATGAATTAATGCCAGGCAAACATAAATGAATGAATGAATGAATGAATGAATGAATGAATGAATGAATGAATGTCAGGCAAAAATAATAAATGAACGAACAGATGAATGAATGAATGAATGAATGAATGAATGAATGAATGAATGAATGAATGATAAACATGAATGAATGTCAGGTAAACATGAATGGGTGAATGAATGAGCAAATGAAATAATAATCGGCAGATATATAGAATGCAATTAATGGAATAGAATAACATAATGAATGAATGAATGAATGTCAAGCAAGAATGAATGAATGAATGACAACATAATGAAAAAATGAATGAATAAATTAATTAATTAATCAATAAATACATGAATGAATGAATGAATGAATGATAAAAATGAATGAATGTCAGGCAAACATGAATGGGTGAATGAATGAGCAAATGAAATAATAATCGGCAGATATATAGAATGCAATTAATGTAATAGAATAACATAATGAATGAATGAATGAATGAATGACAACATAATGAAAAAATGAATGATTAAATTAATTAATTAATCAATAAATACATGAATGAATGAATGAATGAATGAATGAATGAATGAATGAATGAATGGATCATATACAAACAATAGATTAATGAATAAATAAAATAAATAATTACAGACAGAAAATTTCTAGAATGACAGGATGAGTTAATGAATGTACAACAGACACTTAAAAAGAAAAAAGAATAATAAGAAGATGGAAAAGAATGATGGATGGTTGGATGGATGGAATACAGACTTACTTGAAGAGTTAATGAATGACAGACAAAGAAAGACAGAATGATAAATAATAAAGACAATGAATGAATAAATGAACAAATGAATAATTACATAAGTAAATAAGCAAACGAAAAAAACATGCCAGGCAAATATAATGAATAAATACACCAATTAGTCAATGAATGAATGAACAATTTAACGAATGTCAGGCAAACATATAACAAAAGAAAGAAAGAAAGAAAGAAAGAAAGAAAGAAAGAAAGGATGAAAAGCCTAGACAGATGTGCCCTCTCTGCACTGAAGCAAATTGAAGGTTGTTTGAAATCCCACAAACCTTTGCTTCTAAGTCTAATGAATGATGTGGAAAGCGTGAGCAGTCTCTCTAACCATTCCAGGACATCAGTGTTGTTATCTGTCTAGAATAAGCACTTGTTTATTGCCTCAGTGGCTCTGTCCGTAGATTACATCACTAATCGTTTACGCTCTCGCTGTCTTCCTCTTTTATTCATTCCTCTAGTCTCAATTTCTCCCTGCCCTCCAATGCTTTCCTAGGCTGTTCATCCGTAAAACAACCCACACTTAGAGAACATCTTGGGCTCACCTAATCTCCATGTATTACCTACTCACTCTTTACTGCACTCTTCTTTTCTCTCGAGAGTTTCTAATGGATGATATCCGTTTATCTGTTGGAACAAATCAGGTGTTTGAGTTGTGGAAATTCAGGGACTCTTGCTTTAAATTCTTGATGAGGTTTAGAGGGAAACTCAAATCTGTGGTGGTCTGTTGTTGTTGAGTTGTTATATAGTTTGCTTTTTGTCGCCATGCATTAAATGTATTCAATTTTTCTGTCAACCCTTCAAAAACCGGTTCTGTTTTTCAAAGATTTACATTTCAAGGTCCACTTTTAGTGACCCACTTAATCACAATTAATGAATTTATATCTCAATACCCTTAAAAAATGAAAGCAGTTTTTGTATTGATTATTATTATTATATATTGTTGTCTATTAAAGTCTTATTTTTAAATATGCAAATAAGGAGTTATTTAATAAAATAATTGAAAAAATTTATACGTTTCTAGCACAACAATTTTAATACTTGATGAATTTAAAATCTAAATTGTTTTTTTACACATTAAAGTGAAAGGTTTTAACAGAAAATATTTTTTGAATATTTTATTTCTTTTAGTGACTCAGCAAATACTGAGAACAGCAAACAACAAAAATAATAATAATCTTTTATTTATTTATTTATTTATTTATTTATTTCAAGAAACTATAATACAACTTAGAATACAGTAAAAGAGAACAGTTATTTTACACAATATTCACATTAGAGACACAGGAGAGCAACGCCAAAAAAGTGCATTAAAATATATAGAATTAAAAGAAATAATGTAATAAGAAAAGATTAAAAAAATTCAAGTAGCATAAAAGATCTGATCATATTTACTCAAAAAGCATTATCAATTAATCTAAGTAATTTAATTAAATGTTCTATTTCACATAACAAGTCTATAAAAATTAGAATTTTGTAAGGAACCTCTGTTTGTGAAAGTAAAAGTATAAGAACATTCACAGCGGCTTCTAGTGACTTGTTTTGGTTTTCAAAGTAACAAATAACATCCTAAAGGTGCAAAATAACACTCATAACAGCCTTGGAAAAGCAATATGAACTTAATCAATCCAAAACGATGATACATCGCATAAAAAAACAGGTGACAAATGTCTTTACACTCATTCTTACAAAAGCTGCAAATATCAGTAACAATACAATATTTGTAAAAAAAAGTACATTACATTTAAAGTGCACTTATTTTATTTTATTATATAGGAATACAAAGTTTAAATGGTAATAACCATGTTTTCCTCCATTGAATGTTAACAATTAAATTAACATTATAGATTTATAGAACAATTATAGAACCCCCAAAATAACTTTCCTCTATTGAGTTTTGTGACTGGGACAATTGACATATGAATTTATTATTGATTTTTATTTTTTTTTTTTACTAAGAATTGATTTTCCTCCTACGCATAACTGTGACAATTGTTTGGAACCTGTCTCAAAACTAAGAGCTGCTTTCATCAGTAATCCACCCTAGCCTTTATAATAAACTTTAATAATAATTATTGTATTTGGTAGAATACAATATTTTATGTAAGTATATAAGAACTATCCCTCTTAAAAAAACATTTAGAATGTAGATTTGAATAAAAATCTAAAAGTGTAATAACCAGAATAAAAATCTAAAAGTGTTTTTGTGACAAATGTTTGACCAATCTGCAAAAATAAGTATAGTAATTGAAATCTACTGACACAAATTAATGAGATAAGACTAAAAAGGATTTAAATGTGATTTAAAAATATATATTCTTTGCATTAAAAAGAAAAATTGACACATTTTAAATAGCAAAAAGCCCCAAATCTGTTTTAATTAGTTCTAATTAGCAGGTGCATGAAATAGGTCCTTACAGGGGGCTCATTACTGCTTATTGCGCAACCGAGACCTTCCAGTCCTCCCTCAGTTCAGAACACTGTTGTGATTACAGCAGGTCAGCAGAGAGGCTGCTTAACTACTGTGACTAATATGCCTTCCACATCCACATCTGAAGCTGACTTATTATGTGAGAAGAGATGTCTCCTATTTTTAGGGTGTTGCTTTGCTAACTTCACAGCTCACAGGAACGCTCTGTGTAATTGATTGTTTGATGTGTGACTGTGTGCAGTGAAAAGCCCCCCGGTGATTACGGCCCAGCCGAAATCTGTCACCACCTTTTCGGCTGATGACATCACGCTCACCTGTGATGCCACTGGGAATCCCCCTCCCACGTTAGTATTCATAACAGCACAGTTACACCAGTTATTTGTATTTTGAACTGTATTCTTGTATGATCCACTGTTACAGCACACTATAATAGTAACCAGTATCTAGATACACTAAACATAATGCATTATATTACATCATTTACATCTATTGTTGTGTTTTCTGTTGAAGACTGTTAGCTACAAGGTGTATATGCTATGAAAGAGTATGTGTGACTTATAAATGTAATGAATATTTTCGTTATAGAAGCACTAAATCAAAATGGTTCACTTTGTAAATGTAGTTGCCTGCAAAACCTATTTAAAATGATTTATTATTTCACTGATTTAATAAATCTGAATTTTCAGCATCATTACTCCAGTCATCAGGTTAATCTCAACATTCAGAAATCATTTTAACAAGTCGTGTAGCTGCTAAAGATACTTTACTTATTTATACACACAATATCTTTATGAAAACTGTGCGGTCTAAAAATTGCTGGGTTGTCTGTATTTTCAGTAGTCTTTTGAAGTCAAAATTATTCGCCCTCCTGTGAATTTTTGTTTCTATTTCAATTATTTCTCAAGTGATGTTTAACAGAGCAAGGAATTTTTCACAGTATGTCAAATAATATTTTTTTTTCTGTAGAAAGTCTTATTTGTTTTATTTCAGCTAGAATAAAAGAAGTTTTTACTTTTAAATTTATTTGAATGTTAATATTATAAGCTTGCTTAAGCAATATAACAACTAGTAAAGTATTAAGTACTGTCATCATACAAAGACAAAAGCAAATGGCTCTTAGAAATTAGTGATTAAAAATATTATGTTCAAAATATGTGTAAATTTCTCTCAGTTAAATGGAATTTGAAGGGTTCTTGTTACAAATCCTTGTTGAGGTTTAAAGGCAAACCCAAGTCTTTTTAAATGCAGTTTGTTTTTGTTGCCATGCATTACATTTATTACAAATTTACTTTTCAAAAACTGGTTCTGTTTCAAAGATTTACACATCAAGATCCTGTTTTAGTGGTTTCTTTAATCACAATTAATGAATGAATCTCGATACCCTGAAAAAAATTAAAGTTATTATGTTTAATATTAATGCTATATAATGTTGTCCATTAAAGTGCTATTTTTAAATATGCAAATGAGGAATTATTTAATAAAATTTGTGAAAAGTTTTATACATTTCTAGCACAAAAAAATTACATTGATTAATTCAAAATGAAAATTGTTTTTTAATGCATCAAAGTGAAAAGTTTTTACAGAAAATATATAATAATAATAATGGCTAATAATAATAATAATAATAATAATAATAATAATGATAATAATTGGTTAAATAAATTATTTTATGTAATTACATATAAACTAATCCCTCTTTAATAACCTTTAGAATGTAGTTTATAAAAGAATGAAGAAATTTTGTGCATTTATTTTGACAAATGTTTGACCAATCTGCAAAACTAAGCATAGTAATTGAAATCTACTTACACAGATTAATAAGATATGACTAAAAAAGGATTTAAATGTGATTTTAAAAATATTTTCTTTGTATTAAAATGAAAAATGGACACATTTTGAAATATAATATTTTCCCCAAATATTTTTTTAATTAGTTCAAATTAACAGGTTCATGAAATAGGTCCTTACAAGAGGTCCTCTTAGCACCCTTAAGACTTTTCCTCTTGATTGACTACAGAACAAACTGCTGTTGTCCTATGACTTGACTAATAAACCTTACTTGCCTAATTACCCTATTGAAGGCTTTAAATTCCACTTTAAACTGGATGCTAGTATCTTGCAAAATGACTAGTAAAGTATTTAGTACTGTCATCATGGCAAAGACAAAAGCAATTGGCTATTAGACATTAGTGAATCAAATGATTATGTTTAAAATATGTGTAGAAACAAATTCTCTGTGTTAAAGAGAAATTGGGTAATAATTTTAAAAAGATTTACAACTTTACCTGCTAATAATTTTGACTTCAACTATATACAGCATATGTAAAGGAGGCAGGGGCGTAGCAACCAGGGGGGTGGGGGGTCGGTTCGAAGGGGATAAGTCCCCCTCACTTTTAGAGACAGACTGTTTAGAAGCAGGTGATTGAGAATGTAAACTTGTGGATTTCATACAGCTGTCCCCCCTCACTTTTTGGCCCATGGAAGCCAGCTAGTGAAGTGCTATGCAGGTAAACCTCACTCCTCTGACCTACTCTCTGAAGGTGCTCTAGCGACAGATGGTAAGAACCATAGTCTTTAGCTTCTTTGTTAGAGAATCGCCGATCCGATCGCAGCTCAGAACGAGATGGGTGCAGTAGGATCAGTGGGTTACAAATGGGGGCTCGTCCGGGATGGGAGTGAGCTTTAGGGGGGTAAGTGTAACAGAGGCCAGCTAGCGAAGTACTATGCAGGTAAACCTCACTCCTCTGACCTCTAAAGATGCTCTAGAAAAAGACGCTAGGGGCCATGGCCTTAAGACTTCTTGTTAGAGCAACTGACTCCCATATAAAGTATCGCCGGTTTGATCCCAGCTCGAAACAGGATTGGTGCAGTAGGACAAATGGGTTACATATAGGTAATTTTATTTAGCATGTAATTGTTGTCTATCATGTACACAATGACTCTGCTTTATTCCTGCGCTGTTACCAGGTTCCGCTGGGTGAAAGATGGTGTGGAGTTTGACCCCTCTAAAGACCCTGACCTCTCTGTATCCCGAGATTCTGGCACTTTTTCACTGACAGCCAAAGATGGACCCATCCACCAGTACCAGGGCAGATACAACTGCTATGCCTCTAACGAGCTCGGCACGGCGGTGTCTAATGAGGCTCGCATCGTCACAGAGAGTAAGTCACTTATTACCGCAGCACACTCACGATTGGCTGTTTGATATCTGTGACTTTACCACATGTGGAGAGTTTTCTGTAGAGAGAATCTGGTGCACAGCAGATAACAACCCCAAATCAGGCCCCCCGTCCCCTGTTGAGTCACAAGCGCAAAAATGTCATTTAGACGAAAATTACAGCTCATTGTGTGTGCCAGTCACGCTTGGCAGTTCGAGGAATTCCTGAACGAATAAAAATCCCAGATCGTTTGCCAATTAGCAATCAAACACCCCAGCAAAAATCAACAACACAACAGTCGCTTGCCTCACTATCTTAGGATCTACCTGTCTACCTTACTGTGTCTCGACCTCTCTGGCAGTTTCCCTGACAACGGTTACCTCAGAAACCGGGTGTGAGTGGTGTAAGTGTGCCAGCGGGGACGGGCACTCCTGGGTTTAATGCGTGCTGGAAGTCAGAGTACTCCGCGGGAGCTGGGCTAACAATAGCACACATATTATGAGCTACACACACACAGCTGGTGTTGGCCATATTAATATGTATGCCACCACACACCTATTGCGTATCAGTTCTAGCCAAGACATGGTGGACTAGATAAGGTTTTTAATCGCGGTTCATTTGTTTTGTCAGCTGTGCAGAGTATAATTACATGCTAGCAATTAACACACTCCAGATTCTCAGGCTGAAATCTATGAAAAAGTCTTGGTGGTGGTGGATGAGAAAATTCCATGTGTAAAGCACTTTGAGTGTCTATAAAGAACGATATAAATGTAAGGAATTATTATTATTATTATTATTATTATTATTATTATTAATATTATTATTATTATTATTTAGTAGGAATTTTGGTCCTCTCATCTTTGCAGAATTGTTTTACCTTTTAAAAAAAAAGCCCTTTTAAGGTCATGCAACAGGATCTCAATTGGATTTAGTTCGGAGCTATGACTTGGCCACTGCAAGCTCATATCTATCTATCTATCTATCTATCTATCTATCTATCTATCTATCTATCTATCTATCTATCTATCTGTCTGTCTGTCTGTCTGTCTGTCTGTCTGTCTGTCTGTCTGTCTGTCTGTCTGTCTGTCTGTCTGTCTGTCTGTCTGTCTGTCTGTCTGTCGTTCTATCGTTCTATCGTTCTATCTATTGTTCTATCAATCATTCTATGCATCCATCCATCTATCCATGTCTGTCTGCCTGTCTGTCTACATGTGTGCGTTTGTGTTTGTCTGTTTATTGCTTTATTTGCCTGTCTTTCTGTCTAGCTAGCTATCTGTGAATTCGAAATTCTAAAGTTTTGAGGAAAAAGTTATTTTAAATGCTCTGGTCCACATTGAAAAATACAATTTCAATCAATTAAGTTGCACTACATTAGTTGAATAAATTATTTAGTAGATTTTTTTTTAAAAACAGAAACTATTATTTTTATTCAGCTAGCATGCATTATAAGAAAAGGTGTCATTTAGATATTTACAATGTTACAAAAAAGTGTTTAATACACAATAATCCTTTTGAATGTGCCAAATCAGCATATTGAAATTATTTCTTGATCTGGCAAGCACCACAGAAACAAATTCAGCTTTGCCATTATAGAAAATAAACACACTTTAATAATTTTATATTCAAATATTTACTATAATAATAAACAATAATATTATTTGTACTGTATTTGTAAGATACTCTGAAACATTTTAAAATATCTTACTGTTCCCAAAGTATTAAATGAATGTGATGTAGATTGAATTGCTTCTCTCTTTCAGACACTCCTACTCTACAGAAGGAAAAGATCATTACAAAGAAGGTGGAGGAAGGAGAGAGTGTGGTGCTTCCCTGTAATCCTCCTAACGGCACTGTAGCTCCGGTCATCCACTGGATGGATAAGAGTTAGTCTATTTTTACTTTCTCCTGCTTTATTATGTTAAACATGAACTGCCTCTCAACATTGTCTATATTTCTGCTGTCTCTCTTTCAGAGCTGCGGCACATTCAGCAAAATGAGCGTGTGATTCAGGGTCGTGACGGGAACCTGTACTTCTCTCATGCAACTGTGGCAGACAGTAGAGATGACTACACCTGCAACATTCAGTTCCCCAGCGCACGCGTCATCAAGCTCAAGGAGCCAATCAAACTCACTGTTTCTTCCTGTAAGCATCTATCTATGTATCTATGTATCTATGTATCTATCTATCTATCTATCTATCTATCTATCTATCTATCTATCTATCTATCTATCTATCTATCTATCTATCTATCTATCTATATATCTGGCTATCTGGCTGTCTGTCTATTATGTTTTCTCACCTACAGTTTTGTGAAAAAGCTTTTATATGTAAAAGTGTTTGCTCTCTATGTCTAATAACTGGTTGGCCCACCACAAAAAACTTACAATGAGTCTGTTACAGCTCTGGAGGAGTTTTAGTCCTCTCATCTTTGCAGAATTGTTTTACCCTCTTTGAAAAACTGCCTTTTTAAAATCATGCCACAGCATCTCAATTGGGTTCAGGTCAAGACTATGACTTGGCCACTCCAAAGTCTTCATTTTGGATTTCATTAGCCATTCAGAAGTGGACTTGCTGGTCTGCTTTATATCATTTTTTTGTGCTGCAGAACGCAAGTTCGCTTCAGCTTGAGGTCACCAACAGGTGGCTGGACATTCTCCTTCAAGATATTTTGGTACACTGGTTTTCGTACATTCATTTATCACATCAAGTCTTCCAGGTCTGAATCAGCAAAACAGCCTCAGACCATCACACTGCCACATTTTACTGTTGGTTTGTTTTTCTTTTTCTAAAACATGCTACTTTTACTCAAAATGGGGGACAAACCTTCCACAAAGTTCAACTTTTGTCTCATCACTGCATCCTTTAATATTGTTAAATTATTATATTGTTGTTGTTGTTTTATCCAGTATTTTGACATTCCTGTTATTCAGCAATGTTTAATATTTACAGTAATTTTACTTTTTAGATAAGATTGCAATGATTATTGTTAATTTCATACCGAGCCTTTAATTATCAATTATAAGGAATTTATAAATTATAAATAGTCCTAACTTTAGATTAGGTCACAAAGCTGTATGAAGTTGAGTTAATAAAGCATTTGTTAACATACAAAGTAACCATTAATACTGTATATGCCTGAAAAATCAGATGTATAAACGTTGATTTCAATAGTTTATTAATCATTTACTAACTCATTCTGAATGATGGTAAAAACCTCCAACTACTCTTAAATACAAATGGTTTGTCAATAATGCAATACTTCATTTAGTAATGAACAATAAATCATTAACAAAGTATGAAAGTACAATTATTAAGCACTTTATAAATGTGATTGTACTGTAAGTCAAGAATACAGCATTTGTAGCTGCAGGTATAAACAGCTTACTGATATTTATTAATGTAGAGTTATTGCTTTACAAATAATGAATTCACTAGATGCTAATGCTTAATAAATGGTCCATAGTGTGTAGTTATTATAAAATGTTACCCATTATTATTCTTCTTCAACAGCCACTTACTGGAGCAGTTATTGTTTATCATGCTCTCTCCTCAGTTCCCTCAGTATCTCTGTTTTTGTATCTGCAGCAAACTCAGTGGTGCGGAACAGAAGGCCACAGATGATGCGTCCCACTGGCTCCAGCAGCTCCTACCTGGTACTCAGCGGACAAAACCTGGAGCTGGAGTGCATCGTTCAGGGCCTGTAGGTCAAACTAACGCCAGACCCAAAGTTGTGCTTATTTTAAAAGTCTCTTATTTGTTTATGTACTATTCTTTTTCTTTAACTAGTCCCTCTCCCAGTATCCAGTGGATCAGGAAAGATGGAGTCCTGTCTGAGTCACGCACTACCAAAGATAGCAATGACAGAGTTCTGCGTTTTCAAAATATCTCAGAGACTGACGGTGGCGAGTACCAGTGTACGGCAACCAATCCACAGGGCATGAGCACTCACACCTACAGAGTCACGGTGGAAGGTAGGGTATTCTTCACACTGTCGGATCACTTCCTCTGCACATTTACATTTAGATACAGGGCGTCAACGCAAAATTAAACTTCAGTAGTTACAGAGTTACGACGTCAGCTGTGCAGTGCATGATTCCTTATTGCTTGATAGAAGCTTATTGGTTACTTTGCTTGGCAGAGACTTTCTGTGATTGGTTGTTTGTGTTTTGTGGTGATCCAGCTGCTCCGTATTGGATTAAAGAACCAAAGAGCCAACTGTACGCCCCAGGAGAGACTGTCAAACTGGAATGTAAGGCTGATGGCATTCCCAAACCTGAGGTCACCTGGAGCATCAATGGCATTCTACTTTCTGGTAACTAACACTTTGTCAATACAATCCATGCAGTAGGGTCTTCTCACACATGGCAGGTTTGGTTCAATTGATTTTATTTATTTGAATAAGTGTGGAGCGGCGCGATGGCGAATATATATATATATATATATATAAAGCATAATATGATCCATTTATACAAATCATAGACATATAGATATGTTTGTGAATTACAGTTTTAGTGTATATTTTGCATACAGATGTTGAATAATTTTTCTCTGTTCACTTGAGATATGAGACATTGATTTACAGTCTTGTATCGACATACTGAGGTGTCATTTTGCTGTCATAGATATTGATCCAGACCCCCGACGCAGCGTGAAACATGGCGTTCTCACTCTGAAGAATGTGGAACTCAGCGACACTGCGGTTTTTCAGTGTAAAGCAGCCAGTAAACATGGATCTGTCCTCATCAATGCCTATGTCTATGTTATAGGTAAAGACATTTAATAAAGTAAATAAATATATATTTTTGTTGTGGTGTTTACTAAAGCATCATTCAGTGATTAAAATATCAAAGACTTGAAACACCCTTGAAACAGTAGTATTCAGCGCCCTCCATTAATATTATCGCCCTTGGTACATTTGTGCAAAGTCTGTGAAAAAAAACTTCTGTGTCGTTGACCCTTTTGATATTTTGCTCAAACTATTAACAAAAAGGCTTTGTGTGTCAATGTTCCAATGTGCCAATATGCACCCTGATGACCTCACAAGGTAGAGAACCTTGTGAGGTCATCAGGGTGCATATTTATTATGGGTAGTACAACGTATTGCCATTAGAGTCAGCAGCATGACACGCAAGTAAGTAAAAGTCCGTAGTAAATGCACACCTTGATCTGATGCGGAAGACAACCAAACATTTTGATGTCCTGTACAGCACCCAAAAGTGTTCTTGAAGCTTTGTATGAGCCACTGAAGTCACATGGGATGTTTTAAAAGTATTTTAGGTTCTTATTCTGGAGTGTAAAATCCGATGATTGCTGTCTATAGAGAATGAGAGAGCTCTCTGATTTCATCTAAAATATCTGAACTTGTGTCCCGAAGATGAAGACCTCAGGGGATTGGAATGACATGAGGGTGTGTAATTAAAAATATATATTTTATTTGTTGGTAAACCGGTAAACTAACCCTTTAAATACACCTGGGTGACAAAAAAAAGGAAATTGTTTAACTAGTGTTGGGCAGTAGCCTACTAGCTTAACTACATTTCTCGGTAGCGTGGTGGTAGCATCACGACTTTCTTAACCAAATAGCTTTTCAGCAGCAAAACTATTATTTTAAGCAAGTAGCGCTGTAGCGTCCACACAAGTTACATTTGCTGATCGTGACCTCTAGAAGTTAAAACGCAATAACGTTAATTCTGATGCTGTGCTCTAAAAATACTTGATTAATTCATAGTAAGTACTATAGTAAGTGTGTGTGCGTGTGCGTGTGCGTGCGCGTGCGCGTGCGTGTGTGTGTGTATGTTTACTGTAGTGGAAAACTGTTAATTTTTACCGGTACCATTAATTACTATTAGTTTATGATAGTTACTAATGATACTACAGTGTGTAGTGTTATTCATTAATGAAGAGTTGTGAATATATATACAATATAATGCTCATAATATAATGCTTTTATAATGCTTTTAAATGTGTAACACTTGGTTTTATTGTTTTGTTTTTGCTGTTATATACTATAATGTTTCTGTTTATTTCAACATATTATTTGCAGTAAATAATTAAACTGAACAATTATGCTTCACATGTTTTATTGACAGTTTTATTGAGCACTAAGACATGATTGACTTGGATTTAAGTTGCTCCGATTTAAAAATGAAACGTAAAAAAAATAGCTTAGATGTAGCTAAGCTACTTTTGCCATGTAGCTTTTAGCTTAGCTTGCTACATTTCCCAGAGGGTAGCTTTTAGTGTGGTTATGCTACATTTCAAGTAGAGTAGCTAATAGTTTAGCTCCCTACATTTCTCTAGTAGCTTGCCCAACACTGTTTAAACATGATCTACTATTTCATATGCATGCAGTAGAAACACATAAGTTATCATACCTGTCAACTCTCCCGCTTTTCCTGGGATTCTCCCGTATTTTACAGTTCTATCCCTCTATTATCCCGTAAAAGTATTTTCTCGTATTTCTCCTGTATTTTCAGTCTTTCTCTAAAGGGTGGCAAATAAACATTAAAGAGTCGAGCCTCCCATATGCAACCCATACCGCCGAATCACCAGGGGCCGCCCCTTGCTCTTAAATGCGAGTCTCTACTCTGCTAAAAGTGATAAATAGACAGTTTCCCAAACGATATTCGTGATTTGAAGCGAAGCAAAAGTCTGAGTTTTGGGTGCGTTTAAACAGATATACACATAATTAATAATAATAATGATATCTAAAGATGTTGATCTTGGTGTTTTTTTTTTAAACACAAATAATTTCATCCTAAATGAGCATAAACAGTTAGGAAAGCAGTCAAATGCTTTCATTATAACGTTAGATGTGTGCGTTTTTAAAGTGACACCTGTTATTTAATGTAATAAAAAAAAATCTAAATAAATCATTCATTCATTGCTCTTTAATCAGAATGTGTATGGTATACAGTGAAGAAACGGCTATTGAGATTTGATAACTTATTTCTATTTCTTTATAGTAGCTATTAATTTTCATAAGCTGAACTAATTGTTGTTAATGTATACTATTTATTTTTTATTTTGTAAATAATAATAAAACCTAATACTGAACATTTAATGGTTTATTTACAACGAAACGGCTCCAAATGAGCATATTTTGACAATGTTGACAGGTAGGCATAAGCCATATTTTCATTATCAGGACAAAACTTAAGAAATGTCTGTAAACAGAAGTCCTAGAGTATTTGTGTCTGTCTTGTCACAAAACACTGTAAAGGGGACAGTTCAACTGTACAAAAAAGTCACCAAGATCACAACAGATATTTTCAAAGGTTTTCAACAACAACAACAACAAAACTCAAGCAATTTGTTTTTCTTCACATTCATTTTTTGCTCATCTTCACCAATGGTGCCAATAATAGTGAAGGACACTGCACCTGCAACCACCCAGAACATAACTGCATTGCAGCACAGTGTTAAAAAATGTATGTGGAGAATGCTGAAAGTCAATATCGGTGTTTTTTATTCTGCTTCTCTAGAGCTGCCTCCTCAGATTCTGACAGAAGACGGCCTCATGTACTCCGTGGCAGAGGGACAGACCACTGAATTGGCTTGCGAGACCTTTGGATCTCCTCGGCCCAATGTCACATGGTGAGACAGACTGGATCCTGTAGGGAGTCCTTTCCTCACATGCCAGAACTGCTTCAGCCAGCTGTCCTGATTATTGCTGGAGGGAAGCTGCTTTGTGGGAAGTCCATTAGGGCACATGGGCAAAATCACACTCTATAGTCAGCATTTCTAAATATTGGTGTTGTTGAAATGCTGCGTCCATGTGAAGAGGGTAAAATGATTATTTTGTGTGTTCACAGGGAGGGAGAGTCCTGGGGCGCTCTTGTAGCCAATCAGAGGATGATTCAGTTATCTGACGGTTCTCTACAGATCAGTAACGCCTCGCTCAATGACAGTGGCCAGTACACCTGCACTGTCAACAACAGTAAAATCACCATCACCGCTGAGCTTGATGTACTCAGTGCGTATTTTATTTTTCAAGTATTTATTTATAATATTTTCATGCAGCCAACAAACTTATGCCTAGTTTTCCATCAAAATGTTTTTTTAACACCGCATTATATTTAGCATATTTTCATTATTAGTGGAGTTTACCTTTAAGCAAATCCACTATTATTATTCTCCATACTTATTATTCTTAATTTCGGACAAAATATTTGGTTCGTAACTAGTCTTGCAGTTTTTGCCCCAGACCCTTAAAGTGGCGTCAAATCATGCTGTTTTATCTGGAATGGTGTGCTATGACTTTTATAAGGGGATGTGGTTTTTTGGCCCTGTCTTAACAACGAGCTGAAAATTGATGCAATGGAGCGCCAAGTGTGAATTTAGTAGAAATATGGGATTTGGAGAGGTTAGCAGCCTTAGTAAAAACATACCCGGCAATGGGGTAAATGTTTTACCCCTGGGGTAGTAGGATGTCCCAAAATATTACACTGACTTATCATTGGCCACTGAAATCCATTCATTACATTGACTCCCATTATAAATGTCACACATCAATAACATTAAATAGCAGTGTCATACAGACTTAGGGCTGGACTTATTTGACTCTGGCATCTCATTTTGATAATGAAGCTCTTAAGCCACATCCCAAACCCATTTAAATACTCCTAATAACTGATCCCATAGACTACTATTATAACAGGCCTAGATGCGCCTCTTTGAATAGCAGTGTCACAGTTCACTCTGTAACCACACCCATAACAACAAAACCAAGTACCCTAGCAACCATTTTTCAACAGCTATATCTAAGCATCATAACATCGTAGAGACACATTGCTTGACTCTTTTAACTCATGCTAGCAGTGACTAGCTACATGCTGATAATGATTAGCCAAGTGCTATAACATGCTAGAAATGCTTGCTATGTATTACAATTTGATCAAAATGTATGTGAGGCTTGCCTAGTAACAACCCAGTGTACCGTAGGAACTGCCTAGCAACCATCCAGACTACGCTAGCAAACACCTAGCGACAGCGTAGTAATGTTTTAGCAGCTGCCTTTTGACCACTCATGACACCCTAGCAACGCCTTATCAACCACCTAGCAACCACTCAGACCACCATAGCAACCACTTAGGACACCATATCAATCACCTAGCAAAACCTTAGCAACCGCCTAGTGACCACTCATAACATTCTAGCAACCACCTAGCAACCACTCAGAACACCCGTGCAACCACCTAGCAACCAATTAAAATGCATTGTTTGTACCCCATCTATTTGCCACAGCAAACCCCACTCACATTTTCTTTAGGAAAAGTACAACTCTAGTTATTATTATAATCACCCCATAAAATGTCTTTTTCTAAACAAAATGGGCAGTTATGCTTAAAACAAGAAAAAAATACATGTGTGTATGTGTATATATATATATATATATATATATATATATATATATATATATATATATATATATGTATGTATGTATATATGTATATATGTATGTGTGTGGGTGCATCTATCCATATGTATATACATTCACACGATATTTAGATATGTTTTATGAATAGAAATGTTGCCTCCTAGATAAGACAGTGATTGTGAAGCCTCCTCTGGCTCTGCGAATTCAGCGGGGGAAACCGGCAACCCTCACCTGCGAGTACCAGGTGGACTCCAGACAGGACCTCCCTCAAGTCCAGTGGAGGAAGAACACGCAGAAGCTTACAGAGTCCTCGGATTCAGACAAGTGCGCTTCTTTCACAGAACACTTCAACTAGGCTTAATATGAGCTGTATAATGTGATCTCATGAACATTATTATTAACCACAAATGAATGTATCTCAGGTACATGATAGATGAATCCACCCTCATAATACCTGAGGTGGAAGAAGAGGATGAAGGGACTTATACATGTGAAGTCATTACCACACTGGATATGGCTAAAGCTAGTGGCTCCATCACTATCGTCGGTAGGTAACTGACATATTCTGCCTGTTTTCTATAATAAAGCATCTCTGTATAGATCTATATACAGTAGCTCTCTCTGTGTTGCATTGTGGTGTTGTAATGTGACCTAGAGAAAGGACAAAAGGACATGTGTTGCTGTAGGGAGATTGAAGAAATAACCTTTAAAATCACACATGACTTGTTTTTACTAGCCTCTCACCCCCTTGTCCTCTTTGTCAACCAGACCGACCAGACCCTCCGAGCCTAATACAGATGACCGAACCCAAAGAACGCAGAGTCACTCTCAGCTGGACACCAGGAGCGGATCACAACAGCCCTGTGCTAGGTGCAGTATTATGTTCTTTTTGTGTTAATGCAACAGTTTAACTGTTCGCAGTCGATATTTGATGCATGTTCATTATTTGAACTGCCTATTGATTTTTTTCTCACTCTCTAAATGTCACATGTTGAATTTGTGATGGTTCTCTGTAAAAAAAAAATGCTGGGTTCCACACAATCCCTTTATGTTGTCCCAACGCAAATCGATTGAGTTAACTCAAGGGTTTTTACTAATTTAAGTTGATTAAACATAAAACAATTAAGTTGTCCCCCCAAAAACCCTCAATAATTGTGTTGTTTGAGTTAATTTTAAAGATGTTTGAACAAGAAGCAAATTTTTTTTGAGTGTAGAGCAAAGTGTGAAGATACAGTTTGGTTGCCGAAAAAATAAATAAATTGGGCACGTTTGTTAATGTGTCTCTTAAAGGTACAGTATGTAATTTTCTCAGCTAGAGAGCACATATTCTCAACAAACAAGTGTGGAATAATGGGAGTTGCGGTCGTCATTACAGCCTCCTGCAGGAATCTTGTTCATGGATGAGCTAAAGTTTTCAAAACTTATTATCATAGTAGTATAAGCAGAGTAAGGCTGTTAAAACTAATTGAGACCGCTGAAGCAATTCCGCAAAAGCAGCAACGCTTTTATTATGCCACAGTCTACCGCTTCCAGTTCTTCCAGTCGTGATCACATGGGAAAAATCACTGCTGTTTAATATACTAAGTGGAGTTTATTTAAAAACTAATTTCGAGAGGATCATGTGCTTATGATTGCTTGCGGCTGGTCCCGCATTATCCAATTTATAATGGCCAATAATAAAACCTAATACTGAACCTTTAACTGTTTATTTACAACGAAACGGCTCCTAATGAGCATATTTAGTAATTTTGGGATTTTTTAAAGGGGTCGGGGGAATCCCTTAATATAGTGGGCATAGCCCTTATTTTCACATCCTAATGTTGACAGGTATGCATAAGCCATATTTTCATTATCAGGACAATACTTAAGAAATGTCTGTAAACAGAAGTACTAGAGTATTTGTGTCTGTCTTGTCACAAAACACTGTAAAGGGGACAGTTCAACTGTACAAAAAAGTCACCAAGATCACCACAGATAGTTTCAAAGGTTTTCAACAACAACAACAACAACAAAACTCAAGCAATTTGTTTTTCTTCACCAATGTTGCCAATAATAGTGAAGGACACTGCACCTGCAACCACCCAGAACATAACTGCATTGCAGCACAGTGTTAAAAAATAATCAATCAGACGATTCCTAAACCACTATAAATTCCTCATTCCATAAGATGGGTGGCACTGTGGCCCAGTGGTTAGCACATCACTGGTTTTAGTCCTTACCAAGCCAGCTGACAATTCTGTGCAATTTTTACACATTCTCCCTGTGCTAATGTGGGTTTCCCAACGGGTTCCCCGGTTTCCTCCCACCATCCAAAAACATGCAACTTAAGTTAATTGACTAATCCAAATCGGCACCATAGACATGCTCCTAGTAAATAGTTATCTCTATCTCTATCTGTTCATTAGCTACTACAGCAGGGGAGTTCTCCAGATTTACCTTAGCCTTAAACTCCCCTCTTACCTTGCAAACGGGAGGGAGCCCAGGGCTCGAGGATCTTATGAGCTCAGGGCTCTCTCCCGGGACAGCATGCCAAACAAGCTTTATAGTCAATCATCAGCTAAGGGTGAACTCTTGAAATATATTTTAGGTTCTGTTATAATGCTGCTCTGTGCCATCTAGATTATACAACATATTAACCCGTCTTCGGTGTTTCTCTATTTTCCATAAAACTAAACCAGAAATCGAGGGTGTGTGACATCATTAGCCTGACCACACAAAATAAGGTCCATGTCACTAGTTAAAATTGCTTATTTCTCTAAATTTGAATATTCTTTGAAACATTTGGGATAATGCAAGTACATAAATCATCTAAATATAAACACTGTTATAGTATTTTTTTTTTTTGGATATTTTAATGAAAAAAATCTTACATATTGTGCCTTTATGTAGACACTTTAAAAATGTATAAAAAGTTGGGAATGTCTTGTTTATATTTTATTTTCATTCCAAGCTGCTCATAAATGGCTTTGAAAAGTGATTAATAGCAAATTATTTTTAAACATTTTTATATAATTATTAGCTTTCTATCAGTTCATGAACCACAGTTAAAAAAAATATTTATTCCATGGCATACATGCAATTTTGCATCAGCCCAAACTTAGGTAGCAAACCCAACTTTTGGGTTAAAATTTGAATAAAAAAAAATTTGTTGTGTTTGTTCATGTTAATTTATATTTGAGTTGAAATAACCCTGCACTTTTACAGTATACATTTAGTGCCCAAATACATTTTGGTGTCGAGACTATAAAAAATGCGTGACGTTTCCTTCTGTTTTGTGTGTCTTCCTTCGTGTTTATTTTCTCTAGAATATTTGATTGAGTTTGAGGAGACGGGATCTGACAGAAAGGAATGGGAAGAGCTCAGCCGTGTGTCCGGCAGCAGTCAGCGAGCTACTCTTCCCCTAAAGCCCTTCATTTCTTACCGTTTCCGAGTCATTGCCATTAATGAAATCGGCAAGAGTGACCCCAGCATGGTTACAGAGGCCTATTCCACACCAGCTGCTCGTAAGTAACTCTAAAAAAGCAAGAAAGCGAAGCAAGAAAAAAGAAAGGGCTTGTACTGCTACTTTTGAATGCATTTGTTTTGTCTCTTCAATCGCTGTATGACACTTAGGATTTGTGTTTGTATCTTCTCTCAGTGTGTGGCTGACATGAAGTGACAGTTTTATTGCCATGTTAGAACGTCTTTGAACTAAATTATGATTTGTCCTCTACAGCTCCAGACAGCAACCCTGAAGGAGTGCGCAGTGATTCCGACGAGCCAGGCACCCTTGTCATCACGTGGAAGGTGTGAGCGCTATTCAGCATTTAGAGAAACCAGAAGTGATTCTGTCATCATGTATTCACCCTCATATTTTCTCATGTTTTTCTATGCCTGCATGTTTTTTTTTTTGTTTGTTTGTTTGTTTGTTTGTTTCCATTGAACATAAAATAATATGTGAACTGGAGCAGAACTTGGACTACAGCACAGGAGCTGAATTTGTCAGACTTTAGAAGTAACTAAAAAGTTACATAAACTTTGCACATAAAGTACATGTGAAGGTTATCTCATGTAATATGTTAGAAAAGTCTGATCGATTTACTTAACACTTAATCCAAAAATGACCCCCCTGACAAAAAGTCTTGTTAATCCCAAAGCAACAAATAATAACTTGACTTCTAGTTGATCTTTTGGAAAAGTGGCAGAGGGTAGATTTTTCAGATCAATCATCTGTTGAACTGCATCCCAATCATCACAAATACTGCCGAAGACCTATTGGAACCCATATGGACCCAAGATTCTCACAGAAATCAGTCAAGTTTGGTAAAGGAAACATCATGGTTTGGGCTTACATTCAGTATGGGGGGCGTGCAAGAGATCAGCAGAGTGAATAGCAACATTAACAGCCTGAGGTATCAAGACATTTGCGCTGCCCATTACATTACAAACCACAGGAGAGGGAAAATTCTTCAGCAGGATAGCATTTCTCATACTTCAGCCTCCACATAAAAGTTCCTGAAAGCAAAGAAGGTCAAGGAACTCCAGAATTGGCCACCCCAGTCAGCAAACATGAACACAATTGAGCATGTCTGGGATAAGATGAAGGAAGAGGCATTAAAGATGAATCCAAAGAATCTTGATGAACTCTGGGAGTCCTGCAAGAACGCTTTGTGAAAGTTATTTGAGTGATTGCAGAGATGTATGTATGCAGTCTTCCAAGCTCATGGGAGTAATACACAATATTAATTCTGTTTCCACTGCACCATGACTTTATATTTTATACTGTACATTATTTCTGTTAAGTGACAAGACTGGCATGTAGTAAGCATGATCATTTTATTTTGGTTTGCCTTTCTTATAAGCCACTTCTGATATCAAATAATCAACTAGAAGTCAAGTTATTATTTGTTATTCCTTAAACTTAGATTAACTTAGGCGACAAGTCATTTGTCAGGTAGTGTATATACATTAAACAATATAAATTCATTGTAGTCAATCAGTTCATGTTAAACAATGCTTAAACAATTGCCTTGAAAAGTCTGATTTATTCTAGTTGATCTCTTTATCCTAAATGGCCATCTCAATTTATGGTTGTAGCTATGGAAAGTCTGATTTATTATAATGAATCAGTTCATACTGAGTGGTCATCTGATGCTCTAATATGTAGTTTTGAAAAATATGAATCATTGAATGAATTTGTTTTGTTCAAGTAGTTGTAAATAAATAAAAACAGTAATATGTTCTGTGAGTAACTGTATTTGTTTGAATCTTGTTTTCAGACAGAAATAATTTTAGCTCATGTCTGATTCTGTGCTCTTGCAGGAGATGGACAGGCGTAGCTTCAATGGCCCAGATTTCCACTATAAAGTGATGTGGAGGAAAGTTTTGGGCAGCGGTCCATCCTGGCACACCAAAGACATCACCTCTCCACCCTTCGTTGTCACAGATGTGGGCAACTTCTCAGCATTTGACATTAAAGTGCAAGCGGTTAATGAGATGGGAGAAGGTCCGGAGCCCAAATCAATTATTGGATACTCTGGGGAGGACTGTAAGTTTACTATGATTGATATATTTGCTGCTTGTGAGCGTTTTTGTTTAGATCATTTCAGTCTCAGTTCACCCCAATTAAGCAGTGATTTTAGTTTGGTGTTAATTCTAATGCTGGCTTCTAAATTATATAAAAAGTCAATGCAAATGCACAGATAGAGGCAAATGATTGCTATGTTGTGTGAATGACGTGTAATATGTGACGTGTTTGCTGTGGAATTGTCCTCAATTACATCTAATGTGCAAAAACAAAACAAAATAAAATTCATCAAGGAAAAAGATTCTGCAAGTAAACCAGAGTGAGTGACAGTGCTTTGCGTCTTGTGTGAACTCAGCATAAAATGTTATGGATGTACTTTTCTCCCTGTCAGACCCTCTTGAGGCTCCTCTGGATGTGGGATTGATTCTGATCAACAGCACTGCTATTAAAGTGACATGGGCGGCCGTGAACAGGGAAACTGTGAGGGGTCGTCTGCAGGGGTACAAGGTAACATACTGTGACTGTAATAACCTTTGTCAAAAATGTGCGATGTAAAGCCTCTTTGACACATTTTATGTCATCCCTCCTGTAGATTTATCTGACGTACTTAGGCCCAAAAGGCCAACACCTCAGACGGGAGCCAAAAACCACATTTGTTGTGACGACAGACAGTAATGAGGAGAAGAAGGTTTTGGGAGATCTGCAACCGTTCTCCCATTACAATCTGGCTGTAAGTGTCTTCAACTATAAAGGAGAAGGACCCCAGTCTGAATCCATCTTATTCTTCACTCCAGAAGGAGGTAAGCACAACAGACAAACAAGTCGAAATAAATAAGAAAGGGCCATGATTTAAATGCTATCATTTGTGCTTTTTAGTTCCGGGTCCTCCATCATCTTTGATGTTGGATAGCCCATCAGAAACAGAAATGACAGTGCACTGGACTCCGCCCAACCAGCCAAATGGAAACCTGATTGGATACATCTTACAGCATCAACAACGTGCGTTCATTCATTCTTCCCAGAAGAATTATGAGTAGTGAACGTTATAAGCAGAACGGATGTAAGCAGATAGTGAAGAGGTGTTCTGACTGAGTTTCATGATTGAATTTGTGATTAGACAATAGTCCATAGATTTACTCTGAAGGAATACTATTTAAATACTTTTTTGGCCAGTAACATACTTGGCAAACTACCCTGAACACCCTAGACATCACCTAGCATTTACCAAAGCAAATCTATCTATAAAACTATTCAAAACACCGAGCAACTGCATACCAACCTATTTTAGCACTCAGAACACCCTAGCAATGTCTTGTTAACCGCCTATAACATCTAAGAAACTGCACAGCAACACAGTCAAACCATTTACAACAAACTAAAACAATGAACTTGTAAACTGTATTAAAATCCCAAACTACTCATCTTAGAGGCAGCATAACAAAACAAAAAGTAACATTTTATACTCTTTTCTTTCCTTCATTTTTCTGCAGTTGATAATGATGCCAGCCTTATGCAGGTGGTCAAGATTAGTGACCCCACTGCTTCCCACTACAAATTAAAACTGGACCCTCACAGCCGTTACCGCTTCTATCTGCGAGGATACACGGCTATCGGAGAAGGACTGCCCATCATCAAGGATGGAGCCACCACACTGGATCCAGGTCCAGCACTTTAATCATCACTCAGTTCTTTTTATTCGAACTGTACATAGATGTTGAGTTTTACATAATGATGAAATGCTTTCACACATTTTAAGGATGTAATAACAGCTAGATGCTATGTGTAATGTCTGTGATTGTTCTATGAACTTCTTATTCATGTCTGGTTTTTCCTGTTTTCTTAATTCTTTGCTTGTTGTCATGGTTACCCATTTTGTTCACCTGCCACTTGTTTTAGTGTCTTTGGGCCCTATCATACACCCGGCGCAGTGTGGCGCAAGGCGTGGCGCAGTAGTCTTTTGGTAGTTTCAGCTTGGCGCAAGAGTCGTTTTGAGGCGTTGCGCTACGCTGTTTATATAGCAAATGCATTAGCGCTCATTTGTGTGCCCATAGGCGTTCTGGTCTAAAAAAGAAGACGTTCTGAGGCGGACCGCTGGCGCGTTGCTATTTTGATAAACTAAAATAGATTTTTCATTAGACCAAAACAAACCCGGTCTAAACTCCGGCGCAGAGTTGCGCCTCGCTTACACATAGCTTAATCTGCACAAGAGAGCAATAGGCAAATAGCTTTACATATGAAAAAATGTAAATATTAAGGATATATATAGGATATAATAAGAATAGATATAGGATATAAATATAAAGGATTAAAATATTACAAAACATACTATTTTCTAGCCTAGATAAATTTGAAAAATCACTGCTTTTATGTTTTCATCTCGGGAGGCTTTTTCAGTTCATTCATAACAATTTGCTTTTGTATAATGTTATTATTATTAGCAGTATTATTTATTATATCCATATTTATATTTGTTTTATTAAAAACAAGCTTAGAATTGCCCACCTGTCAGGTTTTAGACCATAAGGGACACAGCATGTGTTTTAGGATATAACTCAGGTTTTTGAAGACATTTTGTTATTATTATTCATTTATTAGTTTGCTGGAAATTAGAACTGAATTTAGAAATAGTTTTGAAACTAATATTTGCGCTTAACAAACAAAAGTATTTATTTATAGACTAATTGATGTCTGTGGGTGGTTTCCCTATCCAAGAGCGAATGTGAAAGTAGTTCCATTATCTCTCATTCTCACGCAGTAGATGCTCTGTTTAACAGTTTTCTGTTAAAAAACTGTTAACTGTGAACTGTTTGCATGTGAAATGCTCATTTTTTCCACTTAGACTTACTTTGCGTCCTGTAAATAGTGAATGCGCTCTTGGTGCGACGCAGATGACTCTTAAAGGGAATGGGAGATGAGACTCAAATTGGTTTATTCTCAAAACACACCTATAACTCATTAAGAAAATAAACTCAACCCATTTAGACCATGCGCCACGGCGCAAGGCAGATTTCCCATCCTTAAATTAGCAAAAACGCGTACTGACACGCCCTGAAAGCATTTGCGCCCTGCGTTTTGCGCTCTGCGCATGGCCCGTCAAAATAGAGCCCACTTTGTTTAAGCACAGTGTTTGGTTTAGTATCTATCCTTTATTGTATTTACAAAGCTTTTACAAAGCTCCTACATACTGGTTTGCCTTTTGTAGAAGGGTGAGGTTAAATTGGTTCAAAATAACTGCTTCATTTGGTGCCAACAGCTTAATGGGCAGTGTGCCGACATACACTACCTGAAAAAAGTCTTGTCGCCTATCCAAATTTTTGGAACAACTAATAATAACTTGACTTCTAGTTGAATATTTGGTTTCAGAAGTGGCTTATCTGAAAGGGAAAGGGAAAATACGCTTATTTTCTGAAAATAAAATATAATCATGCCTTGATTTTTAATTATTTAATTAGGAAAATAAGGTTTGACTTTGCTTAGACAAAAGTCTTGTCACTTAACAGAAATAATGTACAGTATAGAATATAAAGTCATGGCGCAGTGTAAAAAAAATATTGCCCATGAGCTTGGAAGACTGCATCCATACATCTCTGCAATGTTTTGAACAATGTTAAAGTCTGACTTGTTTTGTTTCTCTGTGAACAGTTCCGCCCTCCGACATTAGCATATCGACTGGAGAGACATCAGTCAACCTGACCTGGGTGTCAAAAGAAAGACAGAGGAACGTGGAATTCTTTATTCATTACCTGAGAAAGGATGGTACGTGACACACAGACAGGATGTGATTGAGAATGACTGAACACAAGCTTGTTCATGAATAACACTATAGAAAAACAGCCGCTTTATTGGCTGTTCTGTTAATATGTGCTTGTGTTTTTTAGAGAGGGAGAATTTGTTTTGATTTTCATTGTATCTGTCCAGGCCCAGACAAATGGGAGAAATCTGAAAAGGTGAACAGCACTCAGTCTTTCTACACACTGCATGGGCTCCAGCCTGGATCCCAGTACCGGCTGAAGATCGACTTTAACAACACTAAATGGGAGCAAGAGATCCAGACTGCAGGAGCTAGTAATTACAAAACAGCCCATTTTTTCTTTTTAGAATCAATTAGACTGTCCTGTTTATGTACAGATCATGAAAGAAGATGCCCACTTAAAGATTAGCTCTTAATGGAGTGCACATTATGCTTTTTATGTAACTTTAATGGTCTTTGAAATAAAAAAATAAAAAGTTTTAATATCTTTGGAGCTCTGAAAAGAGATCAGAAATAGTGTGTATAATGGAATATCACATGATTTGAAGCCTTGACAATTGTGGTCACTACAAAAAGTATTCTCTTTTTCAAAAGAAAGTCATGGTATTACCATTCAAAATTTGGGGTCAGTAGATTTTTTAATAGTTGAGTTATTATTAAAAGTCTCTAAAAGAAATATTTTATGCTCACCAAGGCTGTATTTAATACAATTAATGTGTTTATATACTAGTAATAATAATAATAATAATAATACATTTTATTTATATTGTGCTTTTCTCAAACTCAAAGTGCTAACAAGTGCATCAAAACACAGAAGAACATGAAATACACAAAGGTAAAAAATGAAGAAAAAAAATGTTTAAAAGAAAGCCTAATAAGTTGTAAGCAGTAATAAAAAGATGAGTTTAAGAAGTTTCTTAAAACAGTCCAGGGAACTGGCGTTCCTGATGTTTGTGGGGAGGGCATTCCACAATTTAGGTGCACAATAGGAGAATGCCCTGCCTCCCATGGTGCTAAGTTTGCAACAGGGCTGAAACAAGGTGAGCCCCGAAGCAGAACGTAGATTGCGAGAGGAAGAGGAGGTAGATATCAGGTCACATATATAATCAGGAGCAGAACCATGTACAGCTTTATAAGTTAAAATTAAGGTTTTAAAATTGATGCGTGACTTAATAGGCACCCAGTGTAACTGCTGAAGTACAGGGGTAATGTGAGAGCGAGATGATGTGTGGATTAACACACGTGCGGCTGAGTTTTGAACATATTGTAAGATCTTAAGTGAATTGGCTGGCAGACCCCCAAATAAAGAGTTACAAAAATCTAAACGAGACGTAATGAAAGCATGAACATAGCATATATTTTAATGTAGTTTCTTCCTGTGATTGCAAAATGTCTAGTCTTAAGTGACAGTATTCCTCAAAATCATTCTAATATGCTGATTTTAGGATTGGGTTAATTTATTTAGTGCTTTAGTAATATTATAATCTTATCATATGTTGCTTTTTGAAACATAATTTAGGTAATTAAAATGTCAAAATCATAGCATTTTTCAAGAATTTGAGATTAACATTAAAAGTTATGACAAAAAATTATTGAGTTGTGTTTGAAACAACATCAGAAAGTGTAAATCCTGCCATATTATAAAATAATGCATAATTTTCCCATTGTTTTTAAGGAGTCATGGAGGTGAAAAGTGGGTTTGTAACCGAGAGCTGGTTTATTGGACTCATCAGTGCCCTCGTGCTGTTGCTGTTGGTACTGCTCATCCTGTGTTTCATAAAACGAAGCAAAGGTGGAAAATACTCAGGTAAAATACACCCACTACAGCACACCATTATAATCTATTAACAACCCTTAATAGTGCATTTAATTAGTGACGAAGCCTAAAGTACACTTTGGTTGATATGCGCACAGTGTGTATGACATCACTGGCACACTGTGGAACCTGAGCGGGAACACAAACAACAAACTATTAATGATGACAAAAAAAATCTGCAATGACAGGCATACAGTATAAGGGAAGTGTATATAAACGAAATAGTAGCAACTTTTTATACAAGTCCAAAGACATTATTATCACACATAACCTTTTATGACACTGGATAAGAATAAAACTGTGCATCTTACAGTGCTGAAATATGCAAAACTGAAGTATACTCTAAGCTTTAGTCATCTCTGACTGTACTAACAAATGCAGAAATATCCCTTTATTTTGTTCTTCTTACAGTTAAAGAAAAGGAAGAAGGCCAAATAGATTCTGAAGCTCGGCCAATGAATAATGAAGCTTTTGGAGAGTACAGGTGTGGTGAAGTTTGTTAGACAGATTATTCTACAAATTTCTTGTTTCTCCCTGTTTCTTACGCTCTTCCATTCTCTCCTAAATGCTCTTCCTAATCATTTGCAGATCGCTAGAGAGGTATGCTTCGCTGTCGTGTCGTTTTTTGTTTGCATGGCTTTATCAATACTTTCCCTTGCATGCATGAAGTGTGCATTTTTTGGTCTTGTCATTAGTGCTTTTCTTTTCTAGAGTTTTTGTCTTGTTTCCAGTCTAAATATCTAAATATTATAAATAAAAGAAGCATTTTTTAGACAACTAAGAAATAATGTTTTATTTCCACGCAGAATCTGTGCATATAGTACTCACAGATTTTTGATCCCATCGTTCAGTCTATTTATTTACTTATGTAAATCTGTGAAAATATTTATTTATTCAGTTTTTTTTTTGTTATTTTCAGTAATATTTTGAATAATATACAAATGTTTAGATAAAATATGTACAATACAATTTGTAAAGTAATACTTTCTGTATTTTAGTGGATGCATTATATGAGAGAACTGCTATGAGAGTAGCTTTGTTTATCAAACAAGTGGTTCTAGTAGAATCTGTTTTATTTTTGTGTTCTTAATATTATTTTTTTATTTTATTTACAGTCAAAAGTCATTCCACAAAAATCTGCAGATTTTCTTCTATAGTCTATGCAGAAACTGAAAAATAAAATCAGCAGGTTCTCTCTAGGCCTAATAAGAGTCAAAATGAAGTGAATTTTACCTTAAAAATAGCCAAATAATCTGGCAGTGGGGTAAGAAAAATTACATTCATTTCAAACAGAAAACAAGATTATTTTACTTAGCCCACTGCCATATTATTTGGCTCATTTGTATGGGAACACTCACTTCATTTTAATTCACTATTAGGCCTAGACAGAACCTGCAGATCCCACTGGCTTATTATTTAACGTGTCTTAAAGAAAAACTTAATTTTCTACTTATTATTTCTAAAGACAAAACAATGTTTTTTTTTCACTTTTAGATATTTGTACTAGAAACACACAAAAACTTTAAGAAAGATTTATTTTGCAGTGTATTATGTACTGTATATTTATTAATATTTTATCCCCTCTCTCTTCTTGCACAGTGACAATGAGGAGAAGCGTACAGCCAGTCAGCCGTCTCTGTGCGAGGACAGTAAGCTATGTACCGACGATGGTCTAGACGACTACGCCAACAGCAACAGCGTGCAGACCGAGGTCATCATGGACGAGTCGCTGGCCAGTCAAAGCAGCGGAGTGCGAGATGTTCCTGATGCCGAGACTCAGGAAAGTTCCCCTCTAAATCCTGCCACAGCCATCTCTCACCATGGCCTGCCCAACTCCGCCGCCCTCCTTGACTAGCCGGGCGAGCCTGAGACCAAACGTGGATTCACACATGTGCCCACCTATTGCAACCGCTCATGTCTGACCAAATCTTCAAAAACCCACAATAACGAGACCTGCACACACAACAGATGCCAAGAAAACCTACCAGATGCACTGCTGGAACTTACTTCAAACGTAATTGGACCAACACAACACTTTTAAACATTCGACCGACGTATAACAAATAGACTGCCATGCTCGTTGTTTACAGATATTATCTCATTTTACAATATAAAATAGGTCGTTTACAGTTATACAAATGTAAAATTAACATCTCCAGAAGAGACTTCTTTGATAATCCAATGACTACGAGCTCCTGTTGCAGACGCCAAATCAAACACGGAATCGGTTTCACCTGTAAGTCAATAAGAAGCGTGGAAGGGAGGGTGTGAGGGCGAAAAAAGAAGCCGAGGGCCTTCAAATCCTGACTATGTGCGTTGTACGAGCATATACACAGCATGAGCTGGTTATACTGGTTGCAAAATTTAATCAACTTATTGTGTTTTGTGCGTCTCTTCCATTTGTTTTTATTCTTTAAAGACTTGCCTGAATCATTTTATAATTAATTTTTTACTTATTCATTTATTTTTCTACACAAGATTCACTTTTGTGTTGTGTTTTAAAGGTGCTGTAAGCAATGTTAGTCATCGTGGAACGTCCCAGATTTAACCACACTCATTTCCAAAACCCATACTCACAGTACAAACGACTGTATTTTTGTCGTAATTGCCGTCATTTTGAGATGTTAGTACATGGCATTTAAATGGAGCTGTTTTTTCCCTTAAATTTAGAATTATGCTTTTTAAGGCAACACTAACAACACCTAAATATAGTGCCTAAATGAATCTGTGGTGGTCCGTTGGTGCAGCAGCCCAGAAAATTGTTGTAATTACAAGTTGTGTGAGCTGTGAGCACGTTTTACTACTGTAGTTGAGTCTGGTAATTATGGTAATTCTGATATGACATGAGCAGATATAAATATTACAGTGATTAGCATGTTTAGCACTGGTAGATGCTTTAACTACACTTTTCATAAATTAATCTGACCAAACAGGTGACACGGTGGCACAGTGGGCAGCACAATCGTAGCAAGAAGGTCGCTGGTTTGAGCCTCGGCTAGGTCAGTTGGCATTTCTGTGTCGAGTTTTCATGTTCTCCCTGTGTTTGTGTGGGTTTCTTCCGGGTTCTTCAGTCCAAAGATGTGGTATAGGAGAATTGGGTATGCTAAAATTGACTGCAGTGTATGTGTGTGAATGAGTGTGTATGGATGTTTCCCAGTGTTGGGTTGCAGCTGGAAGGGTATCCGCTGTGGAAAACAGGATAAGTTGGTGGTTCATTCCACTGTGGCGACCCCAGATTAAAAAAGAGACTAAGCCGAAAAGAAAATGAAAGAATGAGTATGACTAAACAACTCGACTTGTTATAAAAAAAAATATTTATATATATATATATATATATATATATATATATATATATATATATATATATATATATATATAAAACTAGTGTCCAATTCATTTGTGTGGACTTGTAATTTTGATCAAACCTAAATAATAATCTTCAAATCCATTTTTTCACAATCAACTGGGATCTCGCATTCAGATCTAATCTATTTTTTTTCTTCCATACACAGTGCCATTTTTTAAAATTTGCTTAAGGCACCTTTAAGCCGTTTGTATGTTGATCTGTTGTAATATTGTCGTGATTCAATTAAAGATACATATCGACGTCCCCTCAGTTATGATTACAGAGTACCATAGTGTAAATACATGAGATGCAATGACTCTACGACATGATCGTTTATAGCAAGCTGTAAATATGAGCATATGAGCATCTATCAATTAGCCAAATACAGTATTATAATCTCTTTCATCATCTCCATTGGTTCCTGTGCCTGCCTACGACAACATACTCACCACCATCCCTCATGTTTCTTTCTCCCTTTGTATGTCTGTTTTTTTTTCTGAATTGTATTAAACTGTATTTATCGGTTCTCTCTTGCAGTCCTGTTGGTTGTAAAGCCATAAGAATACACACGTAAGGTGCGTAGTTGTGAGGTCATATTGAGTTAGATAGGGTTGTAAGAGAGTAACTCACACTCGCGGTTTAGTTCGGTTAACGTAAAATGCAATCATGTATTGGCTTGTGTCTTATTACAGAGAATGTATGCTTTGTTTGGATGGGATTTGTTCCATACCAGTATACCAAATAGCATTTGTTCCTTTTTGTTTTTTTGGGTCATTCGATTTAACGTTTGATAAACAAATATAGCAGATTATAGCACTGAGAGAATCTATGGCACATTTGGTATTTCTCAAGACAGGGGCACAGGGGGAAAAACTCAGATGAATGTAAATATAGCCCAAAAGATTGTTTGTTATGACGTTGGAAACGATGTGTCGTTGATTATGTTTAAGGTTTTGAAATTTGTTTTGAGTTTTGTAACATTTTTTAACTTTATAGTAACTTGTTAGTTGTGATTTGAGTGTGGTAGATGAGTAGTAAATAGTTAAAAAAAACTAAGAAAAAAAAAGTCCTTTGATAAATAAATGTTACAAATTTTGAGGAAAAAAAAGCTGATTGGATTAAAAAAAAAAAAGCTAATTAAAGCAACCGGCAAAACATGATTGCGCTTATAGTTTCCCAAGTGCTGAAGAACGGCAGTATTGTGTGTATCTGATTTGAATCTATTGCTGCATAGAGGAGGGACGCAGTCATCTTATTTTCACACTGCACACACACACACCTCCGGGGAGCAATAGAAATGCGCTGACTCAGATCTTTAAGAACACTGTCTTGCGGTGGGCTTTTTGCAGAGATTCCCAGCAGCACTGTGGGCTCGCTGTAAGGGCCAGACTGTCTGATCTGTGTTAGCTTCCCTCACACAAGCTGTACAGACACACTCAGGACAAAAGTCTCTTAGAGATCTATTTTCTTAAAGGAGGGGAAAGTGATGCAAATGATATTCAACTCAATATTCAACAAAACTGCTGCTAGACGACTTGTGTATTTTGTCAGTGTCTCGACTGTGTATTGAACTCGGAAGTGAATCGACTCTCGGATATCCACTATACTGCCCTCTGCTATTGCAACTAAAAGTGGGTGGGAGGGCACGGTTTAAAGCTTGACTAGCGAACGAACGTTGCCGTTTCTGTTGTTACTTGTCAAATGTACGCATTCAAGCTCATAATGCATCTTAAACTGTAGGCTTAATGCATAAATAAGCTTGACATAATAGTCTCTTATTCCTCTTGTATGTTCTGTTTGTTACTGCATATGATGTGAAAATAAATGAAGGACCAGTTAAATGAGGCTGTGAGATTGTATTGGTCACATTTCCCCTGTGGTGTTTGTGAACTGGAGGGATGGTAAAGGGGGGAAGCGATGTTAACTACAGTAGATATGAACTGGATTTGGCTATTGTATCTGCATCATCAATCAGCAGTGTAAGTAAATGCTTCTTAAATAAAATAAATGGAATAATTGTTTGTTTATGTGCACATCCATCACAATATAACATACAAATAACTATGGAATTATACTTGTAGAAGACGGATTAATGAATGTCAGACATTGAAATCTGTGTTTTGAAATACAGTACCACTTTATTTGTTGTGCAGGAGAAGGATGAGTTGAGGATGGAATGGGATGGTGGTTTATCGAGAGCTTGTGCTGAACTGGGTGAAGTATTGAACAGAAGGACGGTTTGTATACAGTTGCTTGTCCAAGAACTGTTGGCTGAAAAAAAAGAAAGAGTCTGCTAATAGCTACTCTCATTACAATAACTTTGCAATTTAAAGAAAATCATCCAGAAGTGCATTAAAGAAATTAACATTGTAAACAGTACATTTTGAAATGCACTTAAAAAACTCAGCAGTCATTACTCTAGTCATTGTTGTAAATTTTTATTTTTGAGTTTAATTATCACCAAAGTTCAAAACGCTTGTTCTGCCTTATGTTATTGCTTTCGGATTTTTTTTTTTTTTAGGAGTCCTTGATCTACATCCATAGAACACCATTTATTAAAAGATAAAAAATAAAAAACTAATAATAATAACCTTTTGGTTATTTAATGCTGCATCTCAACCTGTTTTACATGAAAGAATAAACTGTGTGCAAATATGAATGTTACTGTAAACAAGAACATGACTAATTTAAAACAATATAATATAATATAATATAATATAATATAATATAATATAATATAATATAATATAATATAATACAATATAATATTCAAGTAAAAGCTGGCCTAAATTGAGAAATCTTTTGTTGATGTAAACGTTATTTACAATCTTATTGAATTCATTTATTTTTATCCTTAACAAACTTAAGTTAAAAATGTACTACAAAGTTTAAAGACTGGTGTACACTACCTGACAAAGTCTTGTCTTCGATCCCAGTTGTAAGAGCAATAAATAATAACTTGACTTCTAGTTGATCATTTGGAAAAGTGGCAGAAGGTAAATTTTTTCGATTAATCATCTGTTGAACTGCAACCCAGTCATCACAAATACTGCAGAAGACCTATTAGAACCCGCATGGTCAATTTGTAACTAAGATTCTCACAGAAGTCAGTCGAGTTTGGTGAAGGAAAAATCATGTTTTGGGGTTACATTCGGTATCGGGGCGTGCAAGAGATCTGCAGAGTGGTTGGCAACATTAACAGCCTGAGGTATCAAGACATTTGTGCTGCCCATTACATTACAAATCACAGAAGAAGGCAAATCTTAAGCAGGATAGCACTCCTTCTTATACTTTAGCCTCCACATCAAAGTTCCTGAGAGCAAAAAAGGTCAAGGTGCTCCAGGATTTGCCAGCCCAGTCACCAGACATAACCATTATTGAGCATGTCTAGTGTAAGATGAAGAAGGAGGCATTGAAGATGGATCCAAAGAATCGTAATGAACTCCTGCAAGAACACTTTCCTTGCCATTCCAGATGACTTTATTAATACGTTTTTTGAGTGATTGCAGAGATGTATGGATGCAGTCCTCCAAGCTTATGGGAGTCAATATTAATTCTTCCACTGCACCATCACTTTATATTCTATAATCTACAATAATTTTGTTAAGTGACAAGACTTTTGTCTAAGCAAAGTCAGACCTTACTGTCATAATTAACTAGTTACAATACAAGGCATGATCATATTTTATTTTGGTAAAACAAGTGTAATCTAGAGGCCTTTGCCTTTCATACAAGCCACTTCTAACACCAAATGATAAACTAGAAGTCAACCTATTATTAGTTGAATAGTTGACAGAACTTTTGTCAGGTAGTGTTTATCTGAGTCAAACTGAAGACTAAAAACAAAGGACAAGTCTTTAAATTGAGAAGAGATAATAGTATTGCCATTGCATTAACTAATTGGAATGTTTACATTACCAACCACAGTAGTCAAAAAATGATTTAACTATTAGAAAACCTAGCCTAATTGACGTCAGACAAAAAGAAAAGAAGCCCAGTATTCCATTAAGGTTCAAATTTAAAATTAAATAATAATGTTACACTTGTGATT